GGCTAAGCGACATGAGCAATTGATCAAGGTTGCTTTCATCAACAGCAGAGTAGTCTGCAGCAATCTGAAAATAGAAATTTTAAGGCTCAGCAAAATGATTTGTCCTAGCGGAATACCATACCTTAAGGCTTTCAAGTTCACGTATAAATCGTTTTCGGTGCAATCCCGACGACATGCCAATATCTCTTTCCAGTTCCTTCTCGGTTAAATGTAACAAGATGTCGCCGTCAACCATCTGCTTCGCAAAGCTTTCTACATAGTCTTCGAAGCCAATCTGGAAAACATTCGTTCGAAGAACAGCCTTTGCTGAAGGAAGTGATATCAAAAAGATTATTTGCATAGATTGAGCTTCGTTTCACATTGTTCTGTCTACAAACAGTTAACGTAGCTAGGAAATTCACAGACGATGTCATATGTTAACAGATAAATCAAAATGTTCTATGAAAAAGCCTATCTTACAAGTGAATTTAAATGAAGGATTACCATATACAATAGAGATAAAAAAAAACTTGTTTCTGAAGAAACTTGTTTCGCTTTCTGCTATATGATTTTTGAACTTTTTAGGTGATTTAATGCTGTGCAGTTGTCGTAATGCGCAAAGGATTGGAGTGAAACGCAGTGGTCAGAAGATCAAACTACCTAGCGATCAGAAGGAGAAAAACCAATATGATTATTCTGTTTTCAAAAAATGGGTTATTTGATTTGAAAGTCCATTTTCAATCAAAGACTGTTCGTGCACAGACTGTTGAACTTTAGTTTTCATGGAGGAGCGCTAAGATCAACACGTAGGGAAGTTCAAGTCAAGAGAAAGTAGAAGCAGCAATAAACACTTTAACTTTGGATGTTTTCCATCACAATAAAAGGTTTCGAATTTTTAAAATTTTTTAAAGTGAAAGGATGGAATGGCCAAGCAAGTACAATGTTCGTTTTTAGCGAAGAGAATTTTAAAGAATCATACATAATTTCAAACCTTTTTGACCCAATATTGTACGTCTTTCACTGTCCAATTGGGTACTTGTTGAGCAAGTTTATAAGGAACCTAAAAAGGCGACTAAATTTCAGAATTAATATTTGGCTCGATAAAAAGTACCTCTTCGCCAATGACAGTCAAGGCTTCAGAAGCAAATTTAGCAGCTACTTCATCGGGCGAAGAAGCAACTTCTTTCAGGGCTTGGATTGCTCCGATTTCCTGAAAAGGTAGAGATTATAGTAGCCCGTGCGTTCATAACCATTACATTTTTTTTCAGAATTTGTAATGAATGACTCAGACCCATTTTTACGAACCTTGACCCCAGCCGTTAAGG